CTTATCATGCAGCAGGCAGCTTCATTACCATGTGATTATTTCATTGAGGAGGAAATGTGTTCATGGTGTTGCTGGAACACTCCTAGCAAAAACCTTATCACTGTTCACATTCATGGCAAGTGCCACATAAAGACTTGTGAGTGTTCAAATGTCAAGGAGTCTATAGTGGGTATAAATGCCCTTGTATCTCTCTCTACTTTAGTTGTATCAGTCAAAGAAAGTTGAAGTTAGTGGAGATAAGCATTTAACAGTCTGAGGGATGAATGAAGTGGCTCACATATAATATACTTTAATATATATTCATTGGGGATTTCACCCTAGAAAGGGGTGCAGAACCCCAAACTTCAAAGGGCCATGGAGGGGTTTGTAGTATAAAAACGTAATTGTATAAGAGCACTCTCTTTAGGATTAGAATCTTGGGAAGCCCATGTGCAGCCCCCAAGTGGATAATAATTTAATTCAGAGACGGGGAGAAAACAGACATGTTATTCATTCAACACTCATTGAGCTCTTAGCTAGACACCATTCTAGGTACTGAGAGTAATATACCTATATGCAGGAGCCCTGGTGGCACAGTGGTTAAGAGCTATGGCAAGCTGCGGCTGCTAACCAAAAGGTTGACAATTCAAATCCACCAGCCGCTCCTTGGAAACCCTATGGGGCAGTTCTACTCTGTCCTATAGGGTTACTATGTGTTAGAACTTACTTGATGGCAACTAACATCAACATGCTTATTTTATTTAATCATCATAACACTATGCAATGTGGGTGTTATTATCTCCATCTTATAAATGAGGAAGCAGTCTTGGGGACATTAAGTAATATGCCCAAGTTCACATATCTACTAATAATAGAATTAGCACGCAAATTCCAGTCAAGATTAGACAGAAGCCCATTCAGTCCTTGGGTATCTTAGGCTGAGTTCCTTCACAAAGCCGAGCCCAAGACAAGGGCTTGTGAGTAGGTAGTTTCCTTTGGAAAATGATCCCACGGTGAAGGTGTGGGGGAGTAGGAAGAGTAAAAGAGGGAAGAAAAGAAGGTCAAATCATGAGTATATCATCAGCCTTAACACTGCTGTAAGCAACTGGGGCTTGATCCCACTGGGGCACTCTGAGATATTCCCCATTTGTTAAGGGTCGCATAAAATGAAAATGAAACCCATTGCCATTGAGTTGATTCCAACTCATGGTGACCTCATGTGTTACAGAGTAGAACTGCTCCATAGGGTTTTCTTGGCTGTAATCTTATGGAAGTAGATTGCCAGGCCTTTCTTCTGTGGTGACGCTGGGTGGGTTTGAACCAAAAACCTTTAGGTTAGTAGTCGAGTGCAAACTGTTCGTGCCAGCTCCTTCACACTTCCGGCTTTGTGCATATGTCAAAATTGCTGAGCAGTACTGAAGGCATCCCACTCTACAGGTATTGCCCAGGGCTAACATCAAAAGAAGGCAGTGCAGCTAAGTTAAGGTGTCATCTGAATACACCTGGGCAGGTGACTGCCGCAGCAAGGGTTGGAATAAAAAAATGGACTGAAAAGATGTGAGTCAAAGTACAAAAGATGCTTGATATAAAACAAAACAAACAAAAGACAAACCCATTGGCGTGTAGTCGATTTTGACATATAGCAACCCTACAGGACAGAGTAGAACTGTCCCATAGTGTTTCCAAGGATTTCAAGTGACAACCTTTTGGTTAGTGGCCGAGCTCTTAACCATTGTGCCACCAGGGCTCCATGCTTGATATAATGGTGATAAAAGGAGGATACAAAACCCATTGGGATGGCTGTATATACATAATCAGCTCAGAAGCCATAGACCATCCCTCAAGGCAATGTATTGCCCTTTTAAGAACAATTATAAATGTGAGTCTGCACGTGCACCTAAGTCTGTATGTACCCCAGGGAATCCAGGAAACAGAAAAATTGGGGAACCTTTATACTCAATACATTTCATTGGTGAGGTTCAGTTTGTGGCAATCCTTTGTTTTCAAACAAGCATCACTTAACAACATTTGGGGCAGCAGAATAAAATCTACATGTGAAGGAGACAGGGAGTCCTGAGCTATTTAGCTAATGAATGAAAGTGAGATGAGATGTGAGAAGATGACTAAGATGGAAAAATGCTGTGTATGGACTTGTCTTATCCCTTCCAAGGACACTGCCTTCCTTCTGCCTTCTCATATAAATGATGTGATACTTCTCCCACCCAACACTATTTTATTATGGAATTCAGATACATCTCTGCTGATACTCTCATGGCCACTAACACGTATGTCCCAATCTGTGGCACAATAGTCATGTACATTATGTATATGTATTATGACATATCAAAAAATAAAAAATTTGCTACAAGAAACTTACACTTCCTTTGCTTTGATTCTGCCCTCAATATACCACCCAGTACAACATCTGAACTGAATAGAGAGCAAAAAGAGCAAGCTCTAAGTTCGTCCCAGACCCCACAAATAGTTAATCACGTTTTGATGGAAATCTCTTTGAGAATTTTCAAAATGCCAAGTCAAGCATGACTGCGCATCAAAGATTATCAACGTTTGGGTGAAATCCATATTAAAATGGAAGAGTGAAAGCCATTTATATTACTTAAGTATTCCAGAATATCCATCTGGCTGTAGAAGTTTCTCTCTTTTTTTTTTTTTTTCTTTGAAAGGAAAGATGGATGGGTATATAACACTTTGGGCAGAATTCTCCAGAAACTATAATCTACAACTACTGCATTTATCTGAAACTCTGTATTTTATTTTAAAGGTTGTGGCTGTATCATTCTGACTTTAGCAAGCAGAAATATTTTTCCAAAGTGTAGCCTAATTTTATTGTTCATCTTTAAATATTCATTTCACATTTGATGGGCCAGAAATTTGAGATTCAAATTACTTTCTTTCTCTTTATTCTTATCAAAATAGTCCAGGAGTAAGAGTCACCATTCATTTATAACAAATTACAAATGAAATAAACTTCATAATTCAACAGGAACTAATTAAAATTATTTGAAAGCATGTACTTACAGGCAAGTAAATTCCAGATGAATAACTCAGATTCTTTATAAATTATTTTAGGGAAGCTAGTCAGCTACTGAGTCATTGAATCATAACGCTGAGAGGAACATTACAGTTCATCTCCTCCTAGACCCACATGTTACCAAAGAGACATAGAGAGTTTTCTCAGCAAGTATAAGATCATCTATCTAATAAGTTGCAAAGTTAGGAATCAAACTAAGCTCAGCTGTTTCCAAATCCTTTCACTTTCTAAGAAACATTTGACCAAGCCACACAAGATACTGATTAAACTTTTCTAGTATCTCATGTCCAAGATCTACTCAAGGTCCTCTGTCTAAATCTCAAAGAACAGGGTTATAGGGCTCACTGGGCCTCCTGTATGGTTACTGATTTTCATTAGGACACAGTGTTCCCATGGATCTGCCTTTCCGAAAATCTATGTAAAGGTCAATGAGAGAGCCTACTTTTTCCAGGAAAAGGCATCACAATTTTACCCAGTTGACCCACGCAGGCCATTAATACTAAGTATATTTGATATTAAGTCTCTTGACATAAACAGGCATTTATTGGGTATAGTGGTTAGACAGGAAACATGATATAACCCACCCATTTTCTTCCCCGTTCCTTGGCTCCTAAATTGCTTATTTTTAATCAAGGGACACAGCTGCAGGAAATAATGGATGTATCTTGGATGATGTTTTCTGATTTAATCATATGTGCTTGGCCAATGTAATGTCTCCAGAGCAATTTAGGAAAAAGAAGTAGAAGAGAAAGAAGAGGAGAAGGAGAAGTTAGACCCAGCACCAAACCCCATTATGTGGCTTGGTAGGGGAACTTCTTAAGTCAGATGGGAAGCGCTATCCCCAATGAATCAGGCCATGTTCAGCAAGTACAAGGATTAGACAATACTCCCAGAGGAGTTGGTCCTTCCTTCATCCCTTATTACCATTCATTGAGCTAAACACTTTTGAAATTTGTTTACCTGGGAGATTTTAATTATCCACAGACCCTTCTAATATCTATTTATCTGAAAATGACTCTCAGACCCTCCTCTTACATACATTCTCTGGGCAGAGACATCCCAAGATACAAAGCTTGACTGGCATCGAATCAGTGTATATTCACATTCTAGAAGATATACTAATTCTGTCCAACAGCAAGTAACAACACAGGTATACACGGCACAAGTTACAAGATACGTCTGGAGACTAACGTCCAATTTATCCCGTTATACTTAGTATAAAAATCTGTGTATCTTTTTTTACTTTGTGAGTGTTTTGCATATGTGGGTCCGATAGTCTAGGCACAGTAGTACAAAATAAAAGACTGAATTCTATACATCAGAGGCACCTTAGAAGACAGGCCTGGCAATCTTCTTCTGAAATTTCACAGCCTTGAAAACCCTATGGAGCAGTTCACTCTGCACACGTGGGGTCGTCATGATTTGGAATCCACTCAACAGCAACTAACAATAATAATTTTACTTCTGACCCAACTCCAGTTGATTATGCTTTGAGCAGAGCAATCTGTGTAGCTTTAATATTACCTTATTCCTCCTCATATCTCCATTGCTTATAGAATGAAGCTCAAATTTATATAATGAAAGATTAACACCAGGAACAAACCTATTCTTCTAAATTTATCTGCCAGTAATCTTTCTCATATGTCCTCTTTTTTAGCCATACCAGCTCTTCGTTGTTCTCTTAACAGGTCCCCTGTTTGTCAGCTTACTGGAATCTACTCCTCCATTGTCTCCACCAGATCAAATATTCTTCATCACCACATTTTCAAACCCCATCTATCCTTCAAAGCCAGCTCAAATGATAAGCTTTTTTGTTTTTTAATTTTATTGTGTTTTAGGTGAAAGTCTACAGTGCAAATTAGTTTATTGTTCGAAAATTTACACACAAATTGTTTTGTGACATTGGTTGCAATCCCCACAATGCGTCAGTACTCTCCCCCTTCCCTTTCCACCCTGGGTTCTCCGTGTCAAAAATATGGAATGCTTCACGAATTTGTATGTCATCCTTGCGCAGGGGCCATGCTAATCTTCTCTGTAATTTTCCAGTTTTTTAGTGTATGTGCTGCTGAAGTGGCATTCAAATGATCAGCTTTTAATAAAATTACCCTTGTAATGCTTTCGTACTTTCTATACACGTACATCTAAATCACACAACATTTTGTATATGCTTCTTTGACATCATTTAGTACTTTCCAATGGTAGATTACGTATACACATGCATAAGTTAGACTGTAAATTTTTTAAGAGGTTGAAACCTGTGCCATAATGTCTTACTCATAAAAGAAGTTTTAAGAATATTTACAGAAATAAATGAATGGATTTTTAAACCAAAACTGGTTATATTTGAATAAAATTGTGCTTGAATTTTGTAAAATGGCAACAAGTTTAACTGATTTTTTTCACATGCTAATATATCCAATGAAGACATTGCTTAATATGTTGGTATAACATATCATATGCAAAGAAACTTTATGAAATTTAGTAACATGTTATTTGTCAAAAACAAATATAGTAAATCATAATTATACCTTGCCTTCTCACAATGGGTAACTCTCAAACCATGTATAAAGAACTCAAACTATGTATAAAGAACTAAATTATTTTCACTTTATGATTTTAAATTACAGAGAAAAGAAAAAAAACATTGAAAATAATTAGTATATAGATACGACAAGCTGGATTTATTTAAAACAGTACATAAAGTTGAAATAATGCCAACTCGTGAGTAATGTGTTAATCCTTTTAATTATCAAGCTGAATTATGAGTAGTTAGGAATAGGTTCACTGCAAGGTTGTCATTTAAAACATGAAAGGGGAAAATGCCTATTTTTGGTAATTCAAGCTTGATTTTAAAACAGACAAAAACTCATTTCTTCTTAAAAGTCTGTTAATTACTACTAGGGAAAAAAGAACATATAAAAAGAAATACAGTTAGTTATCTTACACATTTTCTAATAAACTATTAATTATATTTCTTTTGGATTGTAAAAGGTGCAGGCCAGGGCATAGGAAGAATTCGGAAACTGAACCTGTGTATTAATCTTCTAGGTTTGTTGCATGGTAGAAGCATCCAGTACCAATTTTATGGGCTCTTCAGATCCCTGACAGCCCAGATTTATGATCTTCCCATATGCAAAATCCTGTGGCCCAAGTTCTGCCATAAAGATTTCAAGACAAAGATGGTGCTTACACAATTGACCTTATTTAAAAAAAAAAAAAAGTTTTTTTCTTAGCTTGACCACTTAGACTGAATGACTCTTTGTTCTTAAGCCATTAATAACACCTTTAGAGAGCATTATTCTCTGCTTGAGAATAATAACAGAATTAAGCTGTACTAATAATAATAGCCCTATGTTGGGATACATAGGGCTATTATTGTCTAATTTTTAGAAATAGATTGCCAGGACCTTCTTAGTCTGTTTTAGACCTGTCTTAGTCTGGAAGCTCCACTGAGACCTGTCCATCATGGGTGACTCTGCTGGTATTTGAAATACCAGTAGCATAGCTTTCAGCAACAGGCAAGCCACCACAGTACAACAAACCAACAGATGGTTGGTGGCAAGCCTTCTTAAACCAAAAAACCAAACCTGTTGCCATCAAGTCAATTCCGAGTCATAGCGACCCTATAGGACAGAGTAGAGCTGCCCCATAGGGTTTCCAAAGGGGGCCTGGTGAATTCGAACTGCCAACCTTTTGGTTAGCAGCCAAGCTCTTAACCACTGCTCCACCAGGGGTCCTTACATAGCAGTGCTCAGCAAATATTGTATAATAAATGAAATCATGATTTGAGAGAAGGTGATTAACTGTTTCATCTCTTGCCTCTTACATATGAGCGCTTCTTTCTCCCTTGGAAGGACTATGTGAACAGGTGATTGCAGATATTTGCTACAAACTGGATTACTTCCATGTTATCAGTGATAAGCAATCTATATGGACTTTATTTTCCCTCTCTTTTATCCTTCTTCTTTCATATCTTCTGCTAATCACTCTCCTTTCCTCTCCAAATATTCCATTCCCATGAACTTGTTCCAAAACTTTTTTGTAAAAACTCATTGCATTGCTTATTTAAATTTTAACACCAGTCGACTTGACAGCAGTGGGTTTGGTTTTCAGGTTTTGGTACATCGAAAAGCACAGGAAGATAATAGAGGTTTCTAAGACCCCAGTCTAAAGCTTAGCGCTATCAGATGTTTTGGTCAAGCTTTTGGCAACTGAAAATTTTTGACTAGTTCAAGGGACTTGAGTACTGAGAAACCTTGCTAAAAATTACTCACTTTCAGAAAGAAACAAATATATATATAGCATTGAATCACAACATATCAAATTATTCCTTTAAAGGAATCATGCCTTCTATATCAGGTCACCTTTGAGAAGCCCACATAACTCTAGAAAATTTTGCCTTTAGACTTAATCGTACATCTAGAATTGAAAGACCATATAACCCTAGAAAATTTTGTCTTTAGACTTAATAATTGTACATTTAAATTTGACTGGAAGTCATGTGTCTCTGAACACCAAATTTTGACAAGCTTCTCTTCTTGACAAAATTACATCCTGTGCTCAGCAGAATCAGAAATAATTGAGTTGCTTATTAAAAATAATGAGCTGCCTTCGTAATGAATCTTGATCTATAGCTTTTGTCTGCGAAACATCTTCTTTTCAATTGAAAAAATAATTAAATCTTATGGAGGCCCTCATCATGGGAGATGAAAGGTAACCACAAAACCATACTTAATTATGTAAAATGAACACTCTGAGAACAATCTTACCAAAAAGCAGATTGAGTAGGGGAAAAAAAGTTACATTTGGAAATTAAATGGATGCACTGGAGAAAAGCAAATAGAAAACTAGCAAGAGTGTGTTTTCATTATTTTTTCCACAGGTCTTCATAAATCTTTCTCATAAAGACTTTATTCTGACTGAAAAGGGAGCGCTAGTCTCTAAAGTGTTAATCTCAATTCTGAGCCTATCAGACACTTGTGCTCTCCAACTTCTAAATGCAGTTTTCTTGCCTTAACTGCCTCTTTCATGCTGTGACAATTGAACATATTTTTTTTTTTACTGAAACCATACAGAAGTTTAGCAAGCAATTTCTTTAAAACACCTCACTTTTTTTTTTTTTTTTTTTTAAGGGCTAGTGTAGTAGAGCAGTAACTAACTTTTCTATTCTTTCCAAGCGCACTGTTAGCTTAAGCCCTTCAGCATCTTGGTCTTTGAAGCCTCCACTTTCCAAAGTTATTAATAACAAGTAATATCATTTTGTTAATAATAACAACAATATTAATAGCTAATATTTAAGTGCTTATTATGTCCTAGGCATTATGCTGTGCACTTGTCTGTCATACATTACCTTATTCAGTCTTCACAAAAAAACTCTCCGGGGTAGTTGTTATAATTATCCCCATTGTTATCGTGGATGAAGCAAAAGAGTTTCAGGGATATTATGTAACTCATCTAGTGTCTCACACCATGTTAGTGATGGAGTTAGAGTGTGGCCAAGGAGTAGGGGTACTGGAAAAAAGGAACCAAAATTAACCCTTATTTTAGAGCACCATTTCTTAGCAAACAGAGCTCATACTACTGTCCCTTCCCTTTAACTTGTGATACTGTGGCCTTGTTAATGTCTAACCTTGTCACCCCAGGCCAAATGTGTCTTCCTCTTTGTTATGGATTGAATTGTGTCCTTCAAAAATGTGTGTCAACTTGGCTAGGCCAGGATTCCCAGTATTGTGTGATTGTCTACCATTTTGTCATCTGATGTGATTTTCCTATGTGTTGTAAATCCTACCCACATGATGTTAATGATGTAGGATTAGAGGCAGTTATGTTAATGAGGCAGGACTCAATCTCCAAGATTAGGCTTTATCTTGAGTCAATCTCTTTTGAGATATAAAAAAGAGAAGGGAGCAGAGAGATAGGAGGACCTCATACCACCAAGAAAGCAGAGCTAGGAGCTGAGCACATCCTTTGGACCTGAGCTTCCTGCACTGAGAAGCTCCTAGACCAGGAGAAGATTTATGACAAGGACATTCCCCAAGAGCCAACAGAGAGAGAAAGACTTCCCCTGGAGCTGGCACCCTGAATTCTGACTTCTAACCTCCTAGGCTTGGAAGATAATGAATCTCTGTTTGTTAAAGCTATCCACTTGTGGTATTTCTGTTATAGCAGCACTAGATGACTAAGATACTCTTCTAAGAACATCTAGTTTTAGTGTGACCACCCAGAGAGGTTACAGAATGTGCCTCAGACAGCATCCCTTAGTTGAGACCTACCAGTTGCCATCAAGTCTATTCTGATCCATGGCAACCCCATACATGTCAGATAAGAACTGCACTCCATAGGGTTTTCAATGGCTGATTTTTTAGAAGTAGATCACCAGGACTTTCTTCCAAGGCACCTCTGGGTTGACTTGAACCTCTAACCTATCAGTCAGCAACTGAACGTGTGAACCATTTACACCACCCAGGGACTCCTAACCTCTGGTGCTCATCTGTAATCTGGTTAGGCTGGTGGCCTGTTTGGGAATCTAAGTAGGAGTAGAAACATATAGAATTTTGTATCAAACTCAGTTTAGTTGTCTGTAGAGAAGCCATAGATCTTCATGTGAATGGCAGTGGAATAGTAGAGGGTAGGGAAAAATGGGCCAGATCTGAATCGATCATTTTATTTTCATTAATTTGCTTGTAACATTCAAGAGATAAAAACTAATCATCCCACAGTTGCTTGAACGTCAATCAGAAGAAGGACTATGTTAACATTGTTAATACCAACCAGACTATAGGAAATAACCTAAAAAGCTGCAAACTACCCTCCAGGAGATTTGGCACCTTCTACCTGCCTATTTTGTGAGAGAAAAAGTGACATTATTAACTACACAGAGGGGCTGGTATTTAGGGATTCCCACAGAGAATGCTTTTTTAAATCTCATGGATTTTATTCAGTCCACAGGAGTCTGTATTAACCTCAAGACTTTGGTTGCAACTCCACATACATACACACAACTCCTCAACAGCCCACCCACTGAGAACTCCCCTAGCTTCAGCCGCATCAAGTTGCACTTGGATTCAAGGTTAGGGC